ATTTACCTGTTTTTTTAAAAAAAATCCACTATGGTAGCCATGGGAAGCATCATCCCCTCAACTTGCACTGGGTTTGGACAGGAAGCAAGCCTTATCTCACTCCTTTGCAAAGTAAGGCCAGGCAGTATCAGAAAGGGCTTTTCCATGAGACCAACAAGGGATGTGGTAGTTAAGGCACTGGATTCTCATGTGGCCGACCATGGTTCAAATCCCAGACCTGGAGGCTTGTTTTCTCACGTTCCCTCTCTTGCTCTCTCTCTCTCTGATGAATTATAAAATAATAACAATAAATTAAATTAAATAAATAACTCTCTAAAAAAAAGAAAAAGAAAAGACTTAGACTTGACTGCTGATGACAAAACCTGGGCTCTCACTCAGGATCTTATCCACTGAGCATAGTTAGTCACTCGGAGGATGAAACACACACACCGTGCTCTTACGCTGCCTCTCCACAGTACCTCACAGCCTAGATAACCCATGAACCCAGCCCGCTTTCTCCCTAAACTCTCTTTTCTAACCAGCACACAATTCCATTGACTTGGTGCCTGAAATGTCAGACAACAGACGACCATGGTTCAAATCCCAGACCTGGAGGCTTGTTTTCTCACGTTCCCTCTCTTGCTCTCTCTCTCTCTGATGAATTATAAAATAATAACAATAAATTAAATTAAATAAATAACTCTCTAAAAAAAAGAAAAAGAAAAGACTTAGACTTGACTGCTGATGACAAAACCTGGGCTCTCACTCAGGATCTTATCCACTGAGCATAGTTAGTCACTCGGAGGATGAAACACACACACCGTGCTCTTACGCTGCCTCTCCACAGTACCTCACAGCCTAGATAACCCATGAACCCAGCCCGCTTTCTCCCTAAACTCTCTTTTCTAACCAGCACACAATTCCATTGACTTGGTGCCTGAAATGTCAGACAACAGAGCCGCAAAACACTGGTTTGGAGGTCTTGCCAGTTCTTCCTGGCTCAGGACAGGAGCTTGTGAAAACTTCTCTCCTCTTCGTTTACAGACTTTTTCTTTTGGAAAGAAACACAAAACTTATCTTTTCTTTTCACTGCACAGTGTGGACTTTCCACAGGACATCCCATCAGAGTTTCTTATTCACTTGAACAAGAAAATACCAGGAAAGGCCTAATTTTTGCTCCTGAATCAAAATGAACTTAAGTCAGCTACCACATCTTACCCTTCAACAAGTACTACCTAAGACGGCCCACCTTCTACTGTGTAGGGCTTCCAGGGGCAGAGCTTGACTCTGTAACTGCTTTAAGCTGCTGAAGGAAAGGTAGTAGCAGACTTGTGGGTGGTGACGTTGAAGATCTTGCTACCTATTGTGGTCAGTGTACTGGAAGAGTTGGCATCCCTCAGGAGTTTCTTAGCACTGCAAATCTCAAGACATGCTCCTGACCTACTGAATCAGAGACTGCTTTTAACAAAATTTTCAGACAATTCATTCTACATTCTACTTGATGGATGTTAGAGGTCTGACATCAATGCCCTATCTCCCTCGTCCATAGGTGGATCAAATGCTTTTGGAAAATCAGGAACTGAGGAAGCAATCAAGGTTCTATCATGACAATAGCCAGCCCTCATGATGGGACTGCTACAGCCCAGGGGCTGGGCAGAGACCCAAGGGAACTGCCTCCTTCAGAGAGCAGGCAGCTCAGGTGGGGTAACAATGGACCATGGGTCTGTACAGGATTCCCGACACTGGTCCCAAACACCTCATAAATGCCTGCATCTCTTCAAAGTAGGATTCTCACACTGCCTCTCAGGCTGTAGGCTTTGAAACTTTTATTTACTTAATTGGTCACCTAGGAAACTCACAATAAAGTGCTTTTTTATGTGCAAAAAATAAATAAATAAAGAGAGAGAGAGAGAGAGAGAGAGAGAGAGAGGGAGGGAGGAAGCACAGTGAATTTGCCTGACCTAGAAATTGCCCCAGACCCTATTCCTGCAGCTGACAGATAACTGTGGCCTTGTTATGCTCTGTAATCTACATAGTTTTTGCTTGCTTATTTGCTTGCTTTCCGACTGCAAAGAAAGCTTTGAACAGGACCATCCTCCTGCCATCTTCCCTCTCACTTGCATGCCTTCAGCTACAGCAGTGCAAGGCTCTTCCCACAGGGGAAGGGGGCGGTGAACTCCTCCTCAGCATTTCTAAAAGAGCCTGATGAGGCAAAGGATTGGCAGGATCCTTCCCCTAACCCCAACTCTTGTAGAAGAGAAGGTAAAACATAAAGAGAAAAAATGAAGAGGTTAGTATCCCAAGGAGAAGAAACACTTCTGAGTCCTGAGACTGATGTCAGTGAAAGCTTAGTTCTTTCATCAAGGGGCTAGAAGGTAAAAATGAGAAGAGGCACATACCAATTCTTGCAAAAAACTTTATGAATGTTTGGGGAAAAAAGAGCTAGTAAGGAAACAGGTAAAACAAATGGTTGGCCAATGTGGCTGTCCCACAGAGCACCCCATCAGAGTTATAACAGGACAGGGATCTTTCAAGCTCTGCTTTCCTCCTCCCAAACAATTAAAGCCAATATTTGTCTCTCTCAAGTATTTCTGGATTCCTGCTTATTTTTCCTGTCTAGTGACCATTTCAAAATTACTATTACATTTCTTCAAATATTTAATTTCAGTGACCATTTTATGAAGTCACTCTT